GAGGAGCGGGAGGGCGGGGCGACGCGAGCACCGCCTCCGATTGGCCGGCCTGAGGCTGGCCCCGCCCCATGGCCCCGCCCCAATTTAAAGCCTCCGCGTTCCCCGGCGCCCGCCACGGGACAGCGCCAGGCGGGCGCCCCGCGCGGTCTAGGCCCTTCCCCAAGCCCGCATTCCACAACGCTGGGGCTCCAGGGCACCGCGCCCCAAAACTGAGTTTCCCACCCCCCCAGTCCGAGGTCCCCTCCCCCCAGCCTGAGATTCCCCCTTCCCCCCAGTCCGAGGTCCCCTCCCTCCCAGCCTGAGATTCCCCCCCCCAGCCTGAGGTCCCCTCCCCCCCAGCCTGAGGTCCCCTCCCTCCCACCACGAGATTCCCCCCTCCCCCCCAGCCTGAGGTCCTCCTCCCCCCCAGCCTGAGATTCGCTCTCCCTGGCCGGTGGCAGCAGCTCTCAGCCACACCTTGTCCTGTGCAGATGTCCACCGCAGCGGTGGGCGCTGTCCAGGATAAGGAGGACCTCCTCGGCTCCGAGAGGTGGGGTGGACAGAGTATGGTGTGGACAGATGGCGGCGGCCTGGGAGGATGGCCCAGTGGGTGGACAGTGAGTGGTGCCTGGGCTGCTGACTGTGGCCAACCCTGCGCTGTCCAGTGGAGACCAGGCCTGGCCCCCCCTCCAGAGTCTCACGCAGGCCATCTTGCCCACCCTGCCCTGGGGACAGCGTCCGTGCCATGAGCCAGGCAGCTTTGGGGAACAGTCATCCCTGCCACAGGCCTGCCTTAGCCCCCCCCCCGTGGTCTCTCTCTGCTCCCCTAACTGCTGGCGGCGGTCACCGTGGTGCCGGTCCAGCAGGAGCTTCCCACAGCCCTCATGGACACAGGGACACAAGAGGCCTGCAGGCGAGCCCCGAGTCACACACTCAGGACACACGTGACAAGACACAGTCCTTGCCAGCCTGCAGGGACAGCCCATCCCCTCCCCTTGTCCAGGCTCAATTTCTGTCCCCAGAGCCATGCTGGGTACAGAAGCCACGTGTGCCTGAAGTTCTAGGCAGCCAGACAAAGCCAGCAAAACTCTGTGCCCAGTGAAGCCAGGTGCCAGTGGCCACCCCTATAATGTTAACTACTCAGGAGGCTGAGAGCTGAGGATCAAGACTTGGAGTCAAGGTGGACACAGTGGTGGCTCACGCCTGTAGTCATTGCTATTTTGGAGGCTGAGATCTGAGGACTGCAGTTTAAAGCCAGCCCTGGCAGGTAAGTCTGTGAGACTCATCTCCAATGAACCATCACAACTGTGGGAAGTGGGGCTGTGGCTCAAGACAGAGCACCACCTTGAGCACAAAGCTCAGGGAGAGGACCGAAGGCCCTGAGTTCAAGGGGTACCCGACGGAAGGAAAGGAGAGAACAACAAAAGGAGAAAAGAACAGGGGCAGCTGTGTCACACACATCTACCCAGCGCCCCCGGCAGGGGTCCCCCAAACCTGGGACTTCTGCAGATGGAGGTGAGGGCACGCACACACACTGCCCAGGGCCCTCATCATTTTGGTGGCTTTTGTTTTATTATTCTGGAGCTTGAACTCAGGCCTGGACGCTGTCCCCCAGCTCCAGTGCTGAAGGCCAGCACTCCACCAGTTTGAGCCACAGCGCCACTTCGGGGTTTCTGGTGGCTCATTGGAGATGAAGAGTCTCCAGGCCTTTCCTGCTCAGGCTGGCTTTGAACCAAGACCCTCAGGTCTCAGCCTCCTGAGTAACTGAGCTGACAGGTGTGAGCCACTGGATCTTCCTGTTTTATTTTTTTTTTTATTTGTGAAGATACTGTACAGAGGGGTTACAATTACATGGGCAGGATAATGCGTACATTTCTTACCAAGCATTGCAGCCTCCTCTTTTTGTTTACCCTTCACATCCCTTCCCAGCCTCCCCTCTCCCCCCCTGGATCTTCCTGTTTTAAATACGGTGTGCTCTCCAGGTTGGCCTCCAACTCCTGATCCTGCTGCCCCACCTCCCCAGTGCTGGGGTCAGGGATGCGGCCACTGTTTCCCTGTGACTGGAGTCAGTTCCAGTCTCACTACAACTCCAGTCTTCCGGAAATAGCTTCCTGGTCTCACACCCCCCAGCGCTGCAGCCCACCCCACGCTACCCAGTCCCCCCCAGGTCCTGTGCTGTCCCCAGCCTGAGTGACCACGCCCAGCCCCTGCCCAAATCAGGTCCCATTCAGTCTGGCCACAGGCAAAGCCTCTGCATTCCCCCCCCCCCAGCCACATGCCCCGCAGCCCACCCCCACCTCTGCCCCGAGCTCCCCAGCCCAGCCCTGGCCCCTCCACCCTCCCCTTCCTCCCTTGTTCCTGATCCAGTAGCACCAGCTCCCTAGTGGACGCCAACATCCCAAGTGCTCCCCAGGCTCTGGCTGGTCAGCTCGCAGTCAGGGTGCTCTGACGCCCCCACTGAGCCATTCTGCCGGGCGCTCTGCAACTCCTCCCTGGCTGGCTCCAGTGCGCCCGTCCCCCGGGTGCCGGCACACATTTGGCTGCTTAGTGTTTGCTGATACCCAGGGGTGGGGGTTGGGAAGTCGGGGGTGGGGACCGGGGTGTCAGGTGG